GGGGGGGGGGGGGGGGTGATGTTATTTCCATCTTTCATTATTGTTATTTTTTTTCTTTTTTTTCTCTCCTTTATTATTTACTGAAGCATATATATTTTTTTTTCTCTCCTTTCTTTTCTTGTGTCCTTTTAGTATTTTTTTCTTTTCTTTTGTAGGGAAACAAGATTTGCCAAATTCCGTTCACTGCAGGCTTCAAACTTGTCGGCGCAATACGCAGCCCCTCCCATAAAAAAATGTGAGACTCGTATCATCGCGGCGCAACCACACTGCTGTGCACCCGCCAAAACGATCAAGCACAAGAACGCGCCCACTACAGCATCAATCGCCACCGAAATTTGAGGGAAGATGGACTGAACACCACAGAGTATATTTCAGCAGGGTTCACCTTGATTGGTGCCGGGAATCGAGAGGTAGACACGGATGAAGCCGAAATCTTGCATTGATATACAGGCATCATGCTTATCTTCTACCACGCCGCCGGCAACACTGAGTCTTGGAAACGTTAGCTGCTGGTCTTGTGGTTGTACAGCACTTGGAATTGTGCTGCAAGACGTACTACAGGTGGAGTGCTCTTGAATGTCGTCAGCTAGATTTGAACTGAAATTGCTGTCGGGGTGCCCCCTCTCCTGCTGCTGCTGTGTTGCGCCGCACACACTTGTGCCTGTTGACTAGGGGCCCTCACCCAGCAGCACAAGTCTCCGGAATCCCGGAGAAAAATAAAANGGTTGTACAGCACTTGGAATTGTGCTGCAAGACGTACTACAGGTGGAGTGCTCTTGAATGTCGTCAGCTAGATTTGAACTGAAATTGCTGTCGGGGTGCCCCCTCTCCTGCTGCTGCTGTGTTGCGCCGCACACACTTGTGCCTGTTGACTAGGGGCCCTCACCCAGCAGCACAAGTCTCCGGAATCCCGGAGAAAAATAAAAAGAGAGGATGGAGTAGCGACAGTAACACGCCAGCTACACTAACAGGGACCTTGGTCACTGATAACGTTGTGCTAATTTCGCACGCAGACAGGCACGGCCGGCCATATGTACACATTGTTCATTGTTAATGTGTTTTTTGTCAAAGCATACGACAAATACATCCGTTGTACGCACTGAGTGTTGGGTGTGTCGAAAACACGAGGAAAAACTTACACACGAACACCTCGCACAAGACCGCCCCCCCCGGATTGCCCAAACCTATCAACATCGTGCCCGAACTGAAGGAAACAACAAATATCTTATTTACAGTCAGTACGACACAGGCCCGGAACGCACACAGCATCCCCGTACCTTTCAGGCAGTTTGCGACTAACAAAGTACCATGCCAAAAAACAACGAACACCCAGCGCGGTCGAAGGGAAAAGAATCTCCCCCGTCCACTTCCCTGCGCAACTGGGTGGGAAAAAACAGGGGAGAAAACGCGCGCTCTAGCCAGCTGGTCAGCGTCAGGCTTCTGTTAGTCCGCCTGATATCTTGCATTCCAGGGTCGTCGTATTTGACGGATGGCTGTATCCAACAAAAATGAAGCACGCGCCTGTTCAACCACCAACAAGGACGCGCGAAATGTGGCATTGAAATATGGAGTAAGAACAAATCATACCACAGAGATCTTTCCCCACGATGTGGAGATCTGACTTGCAAGAATGCGCGGCATGACACCCCCAATCCCAAGCCAGGTCTCTCAAGGAACGTTACATGCACCTACCTGAAGAAGTTGCCAGATCTCAGTTCCAGGCGTCGGTGACGAGATCCGCAACACCATCATCTGTGTCTCCGTCACTCCAGCCAAGGTCGTCGCTCTTCCCGCTCAACCTGTCAGATTCCCCATCGCTGGACCCAGATTCGTCCGAATCCAACTTGATCAAATCGTCGAGCGCACCGACCGAACCGTCGCCGTTCTCGTCCGTCTCGGGGTCCTCCAGTTCTTCTGCGTTCTTCGATTCCGCGGCCTCGCCGGAGGAAATGTCGTTGCTCGCAGGTGACTCAGGGGTCCCCGCATCCACGCCGTGCTGTTCCGTTTCGTGCGATTCCTGCTGCCTCATAGAGGCCATAAAGAGTGCCATGGCGTTGGCAACACTCCCGGATAGCCGTGGTCGAGTCTCGATGGGTGGTTGGGGTCGGGCGGCACCCTTGATCGACCCAGTTTGACCCACCGTAGGCCGGGATGCAGACCTCCGCGCTGCTCGCACCGGTGCCGGCGTCGCCCGACGTTGGGTGCAACGACCTCTGCAGCCGCAAGCGAGCGAGCACTTCCTGTCCTTGCACCTGCACCTGTTGCACAGGGTCCTCTC